GGGACAGCACTTTGGAGGAGGGGGCCGACTGGTTCCCCGCACACTTGGCCGCGGCGGCCCCAAAGGCATCTGGGGACAGGTACTTCTCGTTGATCTTCAGGTTGGTCCTTCCCTTCACTGGGGACGACAGAGGCAGTGAGCGGGGCTGGTCCTGGGGGTCCCGCGGCCCCAGGCTAGGTGGTACAAGTCCCTGGGGAGCCCAGTAGGCTGCGTCCCACATGGGCACCATCATCCCACACGGGCCCACAGGCATCGCACCCAGGCACAGGGATGCACACCACACCAATGCCAGGACTCTCCTGGCCTCAGCCCACTGCGGTTCATCCTGGCCGCAGAGCCGCGGGCACCCTGTGCCCAGTGCTTGGTGTGGGACATCCATACCCACCTCTGCAGGGGTCGTTCTTCACCAGGAACTCGTCCAGCGCGATCCAGCCCCCGCCAACCCGCACCATCAGGGTGCTGCGCAGGATCCGCACCATCCGCAGCTGCTGGGACTCCCCGAACTGCAGGGGAGAGGGATGTCAGGGCAAGGCGGGGGCCAGGGCATCACCAGGCCATCGGGTCCCCTGCGACCCCTCCGTCCCCACCAGCACTGCCCTCTCTGCCATGCCACAGCATGCCGTGTCTGGGGCCATGGATCCCACGGGACACGGGGATGCGCCCGCTCCCTGCTGCTGCAAAGGGTCTGGCACAGGCAGCCACGGCACACGGGGAGCTGCGGGACCTCTGCATGGTGCAGGCTGCGCACAGGTGTCGGAGCAAGCCCAGGACGCCCGGCATGACCGTGGCAGCAGGGCAAGGAGGTGGCAGCGGTGTGGGTCAGCACTTACCCGGTACCTGTTGGCGCTGATCTGCTCCACCTGGAAGCGCTTGGCACAGTTGCACTGGGCCACTTGCCTGTTCACCTGGGGACGGCACGCTCAGCTCAGACCCATGGCAGGGCCCCCCACCCTGCGTGGCCCCAGGCACCGTGGCCCCCCCACCATACCTCGTCCTGGATCTGGTCAGCATCGGCAGTCCGGCGCAGTGGGTCCCGGTTGGGGTGCAGCGCGCTGACAAACTCATAGTAGTCGATGAAGCCATCGCCGTTCATGTCAAAGATGCTTGCCACGGCGTTCATCTCCAAGACATTGGTGGGGAACTCTGGGGGGGGAAGGGGACCCTCAGCCCGCCATGCCCTGTGCACCCCTGCGCCAAGGCCAGCCGGCGCTGGCACCAAACCCTGGACCCCTCCAAGGGGGATCCTGGCTAGCAGACCCTGTCCCTCCCCATCTCTGCTAGCACTACCCCACCTCTCCCCAAACTGCCCCTTCCCAGGCTCTTGGGGTGGGGGGGAAGCCCTGTGGGGTGCACCAGCCCCAGGAGCCAGGCCCAGCCCACCCCAGCCCACCCCAGCGGCACTCACTGGAGGAGAGGACGCTCTCGATGAACTCCCGCTGGCTGATGCGCCCGTCCTGGTCCCTGTCGATGCCTCGGAAAACATCCAGGACACGAGACTTCATTTGGCTGATCCACTGCATGTAACGCTTTCTCCAGACCCCGAAGTCAAAGTGAGCAAACTCCTCCAGCTCGGAGAGGCACAGACTGGAATTAACGCGCCAGCAGGAGAGCCCCCAAGCACCCTCCCCATCACATCAGCCTGGGTGACCATGCTTTGCCCTGCACTCGGGCTCAGTCCAGCTGCCGTGCAGCCAGCTTGCTCCCAGCCCTGACCCAGCTGAGGCTGGCAAAGGGGTTTCTGCACAGGACCCCCGGCTCTGGGTTGCAAGGGGAGCCACAGGCTCCAGCAGCCAGCTCTTGCCTGTCAGGGGTGCACCCACCCCTGCCCACAGGGACGCGCAGGGACTCCCGGCTGCAGGGATGGGGTCTGGGAAGGCTCCTGGGCGCTGCCAGCTCCATCCCACCAACCCCTGGGGACCATCCCCATCCATGCCCGACCCAGGGCCAGAGGCTCCCGTCGGCAGAAGGTGAGGTGAGCTGCCTGCACCCACCCAGGGCCACCGCACTGCCGGGGCTGCCCCTACCTCTCGCAGGCGCTGCATGGCCGTCTCCAGCCGGTACTGCCGGTCCAGGGCCAGAAGCCAGAGCTGCTGCCAGCGGTGCAGGAGCTGGGCCATGAGGGGCGTCTGGGGCTCCAGCCCCCCAAGCGGCACTGCCGGCGTGCCCTGCGCCTTCCCCGTGCTGCGGCGCCCTGCAGCCAGTGGAGATGGGCAGTGAGAGCACAGCTGGGGGTCCCGGGGCACGGCACAGCATGGCGCAGGGGGCAACAAGGGCTCTTACGTGTGGCCAGCCGGCGGGCAACCGGTGGGCCCAGCTCCGCGGCCAGCTTCCGCTTGCAGCTCTTGGTGACCTTCTCCACCGTGCCCTGCGCCTTCCCCGTGCTGCGGCGCCCTGCAGCCAGTGGAGATGGGCAGTGAGAGCACAGCTGGGGGTCCCGGGGCACGGCACAGCATGGCGCAGGGGGCAACAAGGGCTCTTACGTGTGGCCAGCCGGCGGGCAACCGGTGGGCCCAGCTCCGCGGCCAGCTTCCGCTTGCAGCTCTTGGTGACCTTCTCCACGTCGGGCTGCTTGCGGT